TGGCACAGTGTTATTGCTCTACAACTTCAGAGGTATGCGTTCAGTAAAGAAGAGTGCGCTCTAAATGTCGTCAAAGTTCCATCAAGCCTTCAAAAGTTCATTCAAATCGCATGAAACCCTGAATTTTGTGCGCTTTGTAAATGTTGCTTTGAAATTGAACGCTTTCACTCAACAGCATACTTTCATAAAAAAAATTCCAACTTCCAAAGTAAAGCCAGTAGAAACTTGAAGGATTGCCATGCTGTAGGAACCGTTTTTTTAAGTGAAATTTTGTCGTATACTTGCATCTAAATGTCTGATATTTAAATTTTGTGTGACTTCTTGTCACACGTTGCTTTAAAATTAACTACGAAAGAACCAATAGCTCAATCAATTCCAAGTCCACCCTACGAGTCAGTTGATGAAAATGGGACAAAAGTTCTACATGTACATGGCAACCAGGGCCAAAGTAATGCTAAACTTACCGAAAATTGCGTAGTGCCACCGGGATAGAAAGACGAAAATGTGTTTAGTACAGCAGGAAATCGGTCCAACGCCAAACTTATTTTAAATCAGAAAGAGAGAAATATGAAGAATCGATAAAACTTCAGTTGTTTGTCGGAAAACTAAACTCAGTTCAGCCGAAAATATTTATAGATTAGAGATCATTCTTACTAGCTTTTTGTTACCTGGATCCTCCATTTTCTATCCATTAATCCTCAAGTTTACTACACTTTCACAAGCTTCTGCTTGCCATACGGGCCACAATAATTCTATATTTCTCATCTAAGAATGCGATTATCTACTCATTTCGTCCACTGTCGCCAGCAAACTGAACATTCATAAACCTTTTCGAGAAAAAAGACACTGAACTACAGGATAAACATGGCTATTTAATAATTCGCATGTTCGCCCTTTTGATGATTTTTTTCGATGAATTTAACTCAGCTGCAGTGATTAGTGTACAACGCCACGACTAAAATTAATAACCGAATTAATTTTGTATTTCTGAAAATATTGACTAAATAAAAAAAACCACGAAGAAATCGCTTAAAAATGAAACTGTTGCTTAATTTCCGAGCGATGATAGAAACCAACCAAATTTGAACTAATTAAAAATGTTCTTTAAAAGTTTATCAACCACAGAGCGGCATCAACTCAAAAGCGCAACTGAGTATTACCCAGGCCTACCTTAAATGTACAATGGGATACAATTTTTTAAATTATTTGCAACTATGTTTGTTCTGATAATGTTTGACAATGTCCAGCATGTATTGATGTCTACTTGTTTTCCAAGTAGGTCCATGTGTTTGGATCTCTACCTTTTTAGAATTTTGTTTTTCGAATGACCTCAAATGAAGTTATAAATCAATTCACTTATCAGAAGCTAATTCAAATTGAGATCGAAGTTGTCGGGTTTCTTGTACGGATCACGTTTCAAAAAACTGATTGATGTAACCGAGAGTGATATGGCAGTTTTGCATGCAAAGCAAATTGGACATTTTAAATCAGGAAATATTAGAAGATTGTTAAAATATCATTAAGCGTGCTTTACATCATGATATTTGTAACGTTTTTTCGTTAATTATCGCGCGGTAGGTTAATTAATATTAGGGCTCTGTCTCATCGAGCCAAATTGAAGCGATTAATTTATTTCCAAGCTCGTCCTCGTCATAAAAGTAGTTTTATTAGATGCGTATCATGATTTCGATTATGTTAATTACTTGCATATTTTTGGTCCGATCTTTAGAGCATATGTAAATTACGATAGTATGTGATGTGATATAAACCTCGATATATGATACGTAATGGTTTTTTGTAGATGGTAGATAAAGAAAAATATCGTCGATATCGTGAAGACAGTCAGTTAAACAACAGATCGAAATTATTGAATATTTTCAGTTACCAACTCATTAGTAACAAGCTTAGATTTTAACAGAGATTTGGAGAACGGAATAGTCGCACACACGTTACATTTCTTTGTGCGACGGCAGGTTTATTGTCTTCCAATGATAATGTTTTGTAAGATTCAAAAAGTATGAAACAAACGCACATTTGAACCTTTGTCGTAGATCCAGTTGATGCTATTATCAATTTTGTACTCTTGCAGGTATAATTAATAATGACATATTCACATAGTTTCAGTTCTACCGATTTCTCAAATATGGCTTGTAAGTTATTTTTGATTGATATACCAGGGACGGTTTATTTAAAACTCACCTAAACTTTATTAGCATTATCGCCAGAGCTAATTCACTCAAATAAACTTTTTTTTTAAATAAATATTTATTGGGGAACAAAGTGAATAGTTTTACTATGTTTTTGCTTAAAACAAGTTGAAACGTGAAGGTTTAACTTAATCCGGCTAGTTACGCAAACGTAGTTGGGTTTTCCATCTTGAGAAAGTTATCCAATTGCTTGTCTAAATTTAACGATTAGGAACTACGGGTCTCAAATTGAAAAGGAAATGGTCTTCAAAAGTGTCACATGCTAGTTAATCAGGGCACTTCTTTTCGTTTTTCGGTCAATTAAATTTAGCAACACTTACTTCCATTTGACTGTACAATAGTGTTGTAAAATTAGCAACTTTTTTATCTACAAAAGGCAATTTTTGCTAGCAGATATGCTTAACAGTAAGTCTTTGGCGTCATACAATTCCAATGGCAAAATGATTATCAGGTGAGGTGACAAATACAAAATAATTTACGAAATATATCAGCAAGCGTTATAGTTATATGGTGTACATTTAAATAATGTCCTTGTCGGGGAAGGAGTAGTATATAATAGATAATTATAATTTCGTTTGATAATAGGGATTTAATATAGGCACTTGGTTGACAATATGTACTGAAAAATATTACGTTATTTATATTAGCTCTAGCGGTTTGCCATTTTGAGCAGTGCCATTTTCATGGTTCGTAAGTACTGTGCTTTAACTTGATCGTGTACTATAACTTGTTGCAATATCGCAGGACATTTGAGGACTTTACTACCTGATTAAACAGCTTTAATAGTGATTTGTAATACGTTATCATCGGCTCGTTTATTGCAACATTTGATCATCTAGTCTGCTTAGAATAACGATATATTTATATCTAGTTCAAAATGGATTTGTGTAAATATTTGTAGCTTTATATATCAGCATTATTCCCTTAGGTAATTTTCCAATTTATCCTGATGCAGTTGACATCTATAGGTTAGGTAGCTAATGACCTCATCAGTCGAAACATCTCATTGCAGGATAAATCCACAAACTTTGTAAATGTTGTGATCTATAGTTTCAATTTTAGACTGTGTGCCTTAAAACCATTTGTAAATATGTTTAATTTTATTTAAAGCATGTTTTTTGTGACAATATTTATATTTGTTATTTATTTTAGTTTGTTATTTTGTTAACTGTAGGTATACCAAAAATGTTTCAGCAAACATTTTTTATCTGCTTGTGCTCTCAATTGAGTTTACTTAAATATTTAGATAAATAGTAAAAAATGTTTGGCGGTTCATTATTATTAAGAAGTTTAAATATTTTCATTGAATTGTATGTTTCTATAATTTTTATCACGACCGTTTGAAACGGCGGGTTCCCTAAGCTAAGAAAATGACATGTTCCCCGAATGTGATAATAAACATGTTTTAAATGTACGCTTTTGCAACTTTATCGTATGAATAGCTACGACTTTAATCGAAGTTTCATTATATTATCATACTGTTTTAGATATTTTCAATTAGGTCATGCATCGAATAATGCCTAGATGTCTTTTAGCAAACGTCCACGTTCTCACGAACACGGCATTCGCTCATAAATATGTAATACGTCATAAGATGGACAGCTCTTTTTTTTTTTATTCAAACATGAGTTCAAGAAAGTGTCAACTCTCTGATTATCTGCTTGGGTATAATTATTGCAGTTTTTTTTATTGGTTTACGAAAAACTTAACTTGAAACGTGTATGCTTCCAATTTTTCTTTATATAGGTACCTATAATAGTACCTACTTCAGGACAGAATTATTGTTCATTTAAACACATGATAGCATGCATATTCTCTACAATATGTCTTCAAAATTTTGTATTATTGCAGAACGGCTCCACATTGACTCATTTTTAGATCCTGTTGATGACTGATAAATTAATTTTCAAACGCTTGCTTTAAAAATCTTAATAAGCATTATTCCAAAACTCATTTCAATCTGGTAAGATTAAGTACAACTGCCGTCGTCTTACCTCAATCTTCAAGCACTTACCATCGACAATGGTATTTTGTTAAATTTATATTGGTGATTCGGTCATTGGCGATTATTAACAGCAGCGAGCTTCCTTTTTACACTATGAAATTGAGAACTTATTTGATCGGGAAAGTAGGTATATGCAAGATTTTTTCTCATGACTGCCCCCGTATAAACGACGTTTCGGCATGGTGGAATTTGCATTATCGGTTTTGTATCTTCCGTCGGGATATACATGGTGATTCAGTATTATTTGAATTGGATACTTTAAAATGCAAGTTTTTTTAGTTCCAATGATATAGACAATGGATTTAAAAAATTTAAATGTGTATTTTACTGCTAGCAAAAGTAGCGACGGGTCTGTTGACGGGAAGTGTTACTATACCAAAGAAAACAAATTCATCGTCAAATATTTTTATTAAAATATACGAAGCGTCTCATAATTTTAAACATACAATGGTCGTTAATTTTTTTTATGAAAGGCGATGATTCGGTTAACGAATATCAAAATGAAAATTTATGAATTTAACTATTTTCAGTTATTATTCAGTATTTTCACACGTGACGGTCAAATAAAAGGCACATTATTTTCTTAAATTTTTGCACACTATTATGAAACATATTATTGACTTTTTCCATATTTATTAAGTCAAATTAAGTTCAAAAATGTATTGCCAATAAGCATAAAATTATGCTCTGACTAGCCGAGCGCCGACCAGGACTCAACAGAAAATTGCGGAAATGGGAAATTCTATTTATGAAGAGGAAAATGAAGGGAAATGGAAATAAAACACTCGTTCATAATACAAAATACGTATTTATTATCTTCACTATTCCTAGTCAATTTAATAACTTGGACTTAAACTCAACATTCAACTGACAATCTTTATTAAACAGTAATTCTACTAAATGTTAGAAACTATAGAAAATATAATTTGTTGAAACACAAACAATTAAGTATTAAAAAGAACCTCTAAATTTCAAATACACTGTCAAAAAATATTTACGTCCAATACTAGTAACTTCCCATATCTTTTTCATCGCAAAAAATACTTTTGGATTGATTTTACGCAAATGTGATTTGTACTAAATAGTGACTTAATAATTATAAAATGTAAACTAAATTCCAACATTTATAGTTTTTTATTGATGGACTTAAAATTAAAATGATGCACAAGGAACTGGCGAAAACATGTACAAAAAAAGAAATTTAATACTCAGAGAAAACAAATTGTATGAAAATAATCTTATGCTTATCTTCACCCATTAGAGATACCATGTTTCGATAGAATCCTGCTGCAAGCAAGTTATTAACTCAAAACCTTTTAAAGGCATTTTTATTTTTGTTGGAACTAAAAAGTCTTACTGCGTACAAAAAGAAAGAAAATAGTATAAATAAACAAATACTTACTGTCAGGCATAACCATCAGCAAAAAATCTCTACGTATTTGTTATATTGTATGTTGATGTTTGAAAGTCTGCTTGCAGAATTTTATATTTGAGGAAAAAGCCCATTTACTGAACTCACCTGCCTTACTTATTATTGTTCTTCAGTCACTTTTGAAGTAGTGAATAAGCTTCAGTTTAGATAAGTTGAAAACACCTGGCTTAATAGATTAAAAAATAAAATTTTCAGTTGCAAGTAAATAAAAAATATTAACATATCGACAAAGTTTATTACATAAATAAAAACGTATTTGTTGATGAATTCATTTTTTTGATCATCGGTCTTGTAGTTCGTTTTCCTTTAAAAGGTTCTGCACCTTCACATACTGTTAATTCCTGAAACAAACAAGATGAACTGTAAGGCTTAATTATACTAGGCTTTTATGGAGCATATAAATATTAATAAGAATAATTAAGTTCTCAATGACGATGTATTTTTTTAATTCAATTTGAAATCGGCACGCCCCCTTGCTAATGGGTATAGGGAATTGATAAATTCGATTGATGTATTAGGCGGTTAAAACTTGATTATCCCCGATGTGTGACTATTGCTGGAACAAATGTGTGAGTTAGTTCGTAATCCCAGAAAACGCGAAAATATCATATTGTGTTTGAACAGTTAAAATAATTGCTGCCATAAGCTAGCTTAAAAAGAAATAAAATAAATAAGCTAAATTAAAAAATGTTAGAAAAGAGTCAATTTTTAGCAACTATTTGCAAAAGCAAACTGATTTTTTCAAATAAAATTGTTAATATTTGTCAACACGTTCTACCTTGTGTTTTGTAGAGGTGGTTTAGGTGGGTAGGTGGAGTGGGCGACTATTAACCAATATGCAAATTAGTTCAAATTATTGTGAAAAAGCTGCGTTTTGTTGCATTTATAGTCAAGGTCAAAATGGTTACGTTTAACAACAATTGTGCCACTAAAAGAACCTTTCTGGTAGTTTAGAATCTAGAAACTCACAAATGCCAACTTCTGAAATAGCAAGAAACGTTACTTTTTATAGCACTGTAAAATATTCATGTTAATTTTTTTCATTGAAAAGGGTGATTAAGAACAAATCAGTATGTAAGTAGTTATTTACAAGAACACTTTCGTTATTTTCGGCTGTTTAGACTGATGCTGTGAGACGTAATCGTTGTTTCCACTTTGTACCAACAGTACGGTCACTGTGTGAGATCAAAATTATACAATAAATTATAAGTATCTAATTTAAAAAACATAAATTTCCCTAAAAATGTCTGTTGCTCATTGAATAGTTTCTGAGTTTTAGTATTCGCGTAATGAAAGTAATGTTTACATGATTGTCGTGTGAAAATTTAGTTTTTACTGATCTTAGTGGGTTTTTCTCTTAACAAGATATGTCACATTGTACAAGTAATTATACTGCACATATCCGCATCTAAGAAATTAGTGATAGTTGAACTACTTTCTTAACGGAATAAAAACTGGTTAGGTTTTCCTAAGTTAATGCATATATCTAATTGATACCAATCGCTTCTTAATAGGTGAATTAAATATACGGCTTGCTGCAAAACGTACAAATTCTAAGTCGTATTTATTTGTATTTATTTGAGCTAATAATAATATTTATTTCTGGAAATAAATAATACAGAGTGTTTCTCAAAAGAAATACCTATACCTTGCAAAAATAAAGAAATGTTGAAAAGTTGCGAATGGAAATAATAAAATAATTAAACCGTTGATCATCTGATACGCTGAGAAATTCTCGCAATATTAAAAATATTTGTTGTGGCAATAAGCATCCCATTCTGCAAATCAACTTTGATTTTTCGAGTTTCGATCAATTATTGTTCCAAACATTATCTGTTCTATTTCATAAAATCGGTTGTTGCTGTTTGTGTTCACTAGTAAATACCTGTTTAATGAATTCCTCATTTTCTTAATTTTTATAATTGATTCAGTATTTCTGTAGTTAAACTATTTTTCTGTTTGTAACTGGTGATTTTTTCGGATATTTTTTTCCGGAAATAGTATTTCTTCCTGGCTATTCACAAGCATCAGTGACATATATCTTCACGAGTGATGCATCACATTGTTCGAAATCATATACTGAACTGGCCATGTGAGTTTAAAGCAATGGCCGTGAACAGAACACTCTTGAAATTCCACATTTTCTTCCATTATTCGAATATATGTCAATATTTTTTTTTCGGCACGACTTTAAATAATATGTTAAGTATTTTATTTATATGCATTGTTTCATATTCATGTTGATCATTATACGAGTAGAGTATTTTTATACACTGAGAGCATTTTTATTTGTTTTCAAGCAACTGGAGGTTATTAATTTAGTAGTTAATGTGGCTTTGAGTGTTACAAGAATTGAACGAATTTGCATAGAATGAATAAGCATAGTCATAAATTTTATATATTCTGAAACAAAATATACGTTTACGGTTTTTTAATTTATAATATCTTTTTAAATATTTAAGGAGTGTAAACAAGTGCTGCTAATGGACATATTTTTTCGACATTTGCAATATCGATCACTAATGTCCGTAGACCTATAAAATAACAAGTTTACTTAAGGAAATTGGTTAAATAAACTAATAAATCAAACCCGTAATAAAAATTTCTAGACTGGCGCCTGAATGCAAATGAGCAGATAGTTGACTGAAGCGTCTTTTTTATGATTATATAAGTATTATATCTTTAGAATTAGTCCTACCGTTTCGTAAAACCATACCCTAAAATAAGCTTCAAACGTGCAATATTAAGACGGTTTCATTTACATTTGGTAACATGAATTTACGTCTTGTGTACCTTTGTCAGATGAAACTTTAAATACGTTTCCCAGAATGGCATTGATCAATATCGGAAAATATATTATTTACAACAGATTAATTTTATTAGCGGTTTTACAGTACACTTGATAAACATTCTACGAAATGCAGCACTGAAGTAAATTGGTACGTCATTTATTGATGTAGTTTTGAGAATTTGTACATCGTAATCCCAAGATAATAACAATACGTCTGGTTGGAAAATTTTTGAAATTTTGGAAAGAATTTTAAAAATAAAAAATATGTTGTTTTTGCTAGATAGTATTTTATTATTTATCATGAGCGGATGTCAGGAAAAGGCTGCCTGTCTTTATGTTTTATAGTTTGTAATGTATTAGGATTAAGAGAGATTTATTTATTCAGAATCGTTGTCCGTCTTACGAAATTGACAAAATAGTGGAATATTCCCAAAAATTATTATTAACTAAATATGTAATAACAATAGTGTCAATAGTTATGTGAACTTTATATTTTACTGATAATTAAATGCCTAATTAAATAAATAATTTAAAGGATTACCTTTTCTTCCGAAACATGGTCGTTCTACTTGTTTAACCTGCAATTAGTTTAAATAAAAAAGACACGTGGTTAATAACTTCAAATTTTATTGTATTGTTGCATGAAAAGTATTATAATCTTTCACGTGTTTCGAAAAGTTAGTGAAGTAAAAAATCTTTAAACTAATTATCATAAATTTCATCATAATTATCATAAATGAGAAACATGTAAAAATCTTAATTATCTTGTCGTTTTCACTTAAAGTAATGGACGGATTAGAATATATCTTATATTATACGTGTTTTCTTCTATTAGATCGAAATAATTTTTAAAAAATCAGCAGCTAGTTAAATTTATCACAACGATTTTATAGCGAAATCGGAACAGGTTTTTGTATAATCATGCGTACGTAAAACTTTTTTTTTTACTTTTTGATCAGAAAAATTGGCTGATGCAAACATTTTTGAATTAAAAACATTAACTGCTATAATATTCTATTACAACATATTCATTTGACTCTCACTGCCCAGTTCGCTCCTCAAAAGTGTTATTCAATATTTTGAATAGATAACTGTACCTGCATCTACGTGTAATAGGAATTACATTGCAATTACCAGACCTAACTGATAAAAAAAATGTAATTTAAGAAAATCTATCTTTATATATATCTATATTAAATAAAGGAAATTTAATGAATGAGAGACTTCTCTAATATTCGCAACTTTGCTCATTCATCACAGTCACTAAAGTACATGTAAAATGTATATTTTAAGTATAACGTTTCACTTTAGAGAGATTTAGAAGAACACAGAAAATTGTTCAATTTTCAGTTTTTCGTTCCTACATCGTTTCCAATATTTCTATTAGATATACAGTGTATCTACTTAAGTTCCCACCATATGGGAAACTTTTTTATTATTAATTTTACGGAAACAAGTTATTCTTCATAAAAAGTTCTGGTTGGTCCAAAAGCTAAAGATAACCATTATATATGAACTTTTTGAGTCGTATACGAGGTAGATAATATGAATTTTGCTCAAGAATAAAGTACTTTTATTATTTACCATATCGGAAATTGTTATTAATTTTACGAAAAAAGTTACTTTTCTATACTAAAAAGTCCTGCATGTTCTGAAATCTGTAACCACCTTAAAATAGCAAAACTTTATTTTCAGCATAGATAGGTGCAATTAGATATCTGAACGTACTTTTCAACTTTAATCCACTTTTCTTAATAACAATTTTCTGATATCCCTCGTGCATATTGTTAAAACTTTGTCAGTCGTATGACGAAAAAAAATTTTGATGGTCCCATTTCATGTTTTGGACCAAACAGAACTCTTTATGAGGAGTCACTTTTATTCGTAAAAATAATATAAAAGAGGTTCCTATATGTTGCGATCTTAAGTAGACACACTGTATAAATTAGTTTCATCCCTTAATCAGCTTCATAGCCCCGTCGTATGCCTTTTCTCAGGAATTAACAGTACAACAGTCTTTATCAATTTCAGTTTTTTAAAATATAGTTCTTATATTCAACTGAATCATTGGCTCTTTCGTCGCTTAAACGTCACCTATTAAATATGTACAAACATTTAATTTATTGTATACTTACTTAATTAATGTATTTGGTTTTAATAAAAAAAGTGAAGTAGATATTTATATTAAAATATTAATTTGATTGACTAAAATTGTCATATGAATTTAAGAAGTAGACAACGCACGCGTTAAGTTTAACGTAAACGTAAGTTAAAGTTTTAGTTTGTTAGAAAATTGTAGATCACTCGACATAAATAAGCAAAGTCAGAAAGTAAACTGCAAAACGTTATTTATCATTCCTCATGTAATTCCTTGAAGCGCTTTGCTTAACTTATAACCAACCATTTAACTTCTTAGTAAGCACTCGTGGTTACCTAAGCAGTACCTACCATTTCAAAATTCGCATTCGTATTCGATTCGGTATAAAAATTCTTAAAGTGTCCAGATTCGAGAGATTCTTAACGGAATAGATTTCTGTTGTAATTCTAGCTTTTTCAAGTCAGTTGCTGTACTAATACAGAAATACAAAGTGCGTTTAAATTCTTCAATCTACTGTTTTATGTTTTTTCTCTAGTGACAAGCTTGTCTGCTGTAATCAAAATATATATTGTTATTTTTAAAATTAAATTACAGCTTTATTGCTAAAATATTTCAATAATGGAACCGAAATACAGCCGGATAAGAGGTAACACGGATTATAATTCATTGGTTTGCATCCGGAATAATTTTTGTTTAGTTTCTCATCAGTATGTTTGAAGTGTATTTAAAACTGAAATTAGTGATGATCGAAGCGGAACTGTCGAAAATTCATGCCACGGAGTAAAGCATTGATTAATTTACTATGGGAACGCGAAATAAAATTTATTATAAATTATATTTCTGATGATTAGGAAAATGCTATTTATACGATCTACTTGATAATTTGTCAAACATAATGCCGACGATTTTCTAAGTGATTTCTTTTTTGTTGTTCATGAATAAGATATAACTGTGACATTGTGTGATTTTAAAACATAATTTTGAGATATATAGGGATAGGGAGTTTCCTAATGTATGCGAAGAACTTTAGGAGTTATAGCATGATTGCAAAGGATAAGAACACTGAGTTAAATACTAATAGTCGAGTTAACGAGTCGCTAGTTTTAAAATAAATAAATTTTGCTTTCAAGAACTTTCAGTTTATAAAGACAGATGTGAATTTCTGTTAAACGTTTGTGTTGAAATTCGTTTAAAAAGATAGTTAATTTTTTTGATATGAGAACTTGCACACATTGATATATTTTCGAATAAATAAAAATTAATTTATGACTTTAGCGATGTAACTGCCCCTTTATTTGAGGGTACCTACGCTAATATTTTCGAGATTTTTGGCTTCAAGTCCAAAGCACGATTACCCATAATTAGTTTCATTTTCGATTTGTCACAAAAACATTTTGCATACATTTTCAATGTTCTATTAGCTATGCCTATTGTAAAAAGCTAATGTGACCTGCAAACAGTGTGATCCACTTTTGCATTAATTTATAACTTCAAATAGGACTATCTGTTGTCTACTGTTGTGAACTATGAATTTCCCAAATTAATCTTTATTTTGATTTTTTTGTTGAAATTTTAAAAAGTTTACATTTTGTGGACTTACTTTATTGTTAATCTAAGTGTCATAGCTTTTAATTGGTTGGTTCATTAAAAACTGTAAAATACTACGACCTGAATCTATACGTTACCGGATGAAGTACAAATTTGAAAATTTTATGTGATGTTGCCCGCTTTCGTGCGCTCTGTAGATTAAAAAACTCTGGATGAGGCATTGTGAATAATCTCAGCATCTCAAAAGATGAGCATATTTAAAATGCATTTGAAGTTTTGCAAAGAACAGAAGATCATTATTGTATGGGAATTCCAGTTTTTCATCATTCAACATTTTCATCTTCAAAAAGGGGTTGGAGTTTCGCTACTTTAAACTGGCTCACACTATGTACGTTTCTCTAAGTACAACTCGATGCGAGAAATCGAAGTTCGAAATGAGTTGAGTTGAAATAAATATCGAAACATTGAACTAATACTTTATTGGATATAGAGCAACACGCGCACGATTGCATAATTAAGTCGCATTACAAAAATATGTTTACTAATTAAAAAATTTGAATCCGTATTGCCCAGCCTTGCAATTAGCGTGACATCTGAGAGCTAAGACCCACCACCGCATTTATCTATTATGCACATACCCTACATTTCTAATCACCCATGACGATCTCTTTGACCTGCAACTCTAGCCGCTCGGAGACGCTTTTCGACAACATCAACCATGGTTGTGACCGACTTCTTCTCTTCTACCGTCCGCAAGTCGAGGGGCCCGCGGGGTTCCGCCGCTCGCACCTGTTCGCCTTTCGCACCCTTGGAGCCGATCCCGTTAAACCCTGAGTTTCCTCAATCCTCTCAATTCATTCCTTTTCAGGTGATTCACCCTTGGGGTAAATACCAGCGCTTTCGGGTTCCTCCAAATGGGACAAATCGGGCTTTTGGTAGGCCAGATGTGCAAATACGAGGTCAAACGCCGCGCCGTCCAGCCGCCGCGTCGCCTTCTTGTACGTTGCGGGTTACTGAAATTGATGGAAAGAAGGTGTGACGTAACTGTGGTTAGGATTTTTCGGGGTTCCGGGATCATTAAGGGTACTATTATTACTATTTAACATCGCCATTCTACCAATTGTCGCAGGGCATTTACCATCGAAAGGTGCAACACTTGTAATCAAGATCTCCCAGAATACTTGTAAAAATTTCTAATGCTAATTGTCTAGTAATAATCACTGCAGGCATTCTGACTCACTAGCAAGCTTTGCTTGCTAAGTGCCTTGATTCAACTTAAATTGATATATAAATTGCAAAAGTAAAGCTTCAAAATTACTCTCAATCTTTGATCGCTTAATACTCGAGCAAATCCGCTGAGGAACTAAGAAGTTGAGAAAAGTTTGACAATTACAAAACACCAAATTTACGACACAAAATGTTACACACAATTCTTCGAGTCTCTGCTGTAAATAATTAAGAACGCTTAATAGTTAAATAATAATTAAGAATTTATCAAAGTTCTCAACATTCAGAATTTTTTGTGAAATATAGTGAATACTCCGCCGAAATCAAACTTATTTATATTTGTTATTTATATTTGAGAAATATGTTGCCGGAATACATCTCGTGCTTAAATGGATGCAAACTTCTGTATATTAGAAACTGCATTGTTTGATAAGCATTCTTAATAATCCCGGGAAATATTTATGGCTTTCATACGTAATAGTACATACCTAACTATTAATATTTAGATTAGTGTCTGTGCAATTTTGTGAAACAATTAGGAGAATCTCTCTAAATACTAGTGTTAGGTAATTAGAACTCAACTGTGCAAACATTAGATTGGTATTTGGAATATTTGTAGAACATAAATGGGCATTCTGAAAAATACCTATGTATAAAATAATATAATGGCAATATAATGTATAATTGTAAAATGTGTGCATATTTCTAAAAATCGAATATTAACTGAATGTTGAAGGTTTTACTTTTAATTAATTTTTCGCTTTGGGTGAAAAATGAGTTTGATAGTTTCTGCCGCATAAAAAAATATTAATCTTAAATCTTAAATTAAACAATTATACTTAATAAGTTAATAAAGAAAATAATTAATCGGATACCAAATACGAATATTATTTATTTACATTTTTATTAGAAGTTTTGCTTCCGTATACCTATATGAATACCTACTGTTATAAATGGAAAAAAATTCGCCATTGTCAGTTAAACGACCGATTGCAAAAATATTTATTAGAAAAATTTACTTTTTTGTCCAAATGTTAGCAATTAATAAGCGGTACTGCGTCTTTAAATTCGAGTAGAGATCTCGTCATATTTTGTAGAACATGCGAACATTTTCAGGTTAGATGTTGATTAGAATATGTTTTTACTTTGAAACGACCGAAAATTATGAGAAAAATAATTGTTTGCGTCGTCAGATTTCAATTCCCGATAGACAGTACAATCCAGATAACGTTTAGAGAATTGAGTAGTTAATAATTGATATGATTTATTTACATTAAATTGAATGAGATGAATTGCTAAATGCCCGTGTTTTCTGCTTTGTTTAACAACACAATTGGTCCACCATGTTGCAATGTAATGTTTAACGCCAATAAAATACTTCCAGTATGTCAAACTATTATTCCATTTACTTAAATTACTACCTAAAAACATTTTTTTGTTTTTTTCGCAACTTTTGGTTTTGCTGAAAATCATAATTTAACAGTTTTTAGGTGAACACGTTGTTGAACTATGTATTTATTAGTATTGATTAAGTAAGCGAATTTGTAATTTAACCTGCAATTATTTTAAATATAATAAAATAAGTATTCCGTTTTTATCTACCATCCACTATATACCTGTAAATATGCCTTTTTGTAATCCGAATTGAATCTTATTTTCTGTCTTGAGTGCACATCTCTTAAGATAATTTTAAACTTCAAATATTTTAAAGAATTTTGGATTACCTTAAAGGCATATTACAGTATGTACGATCTAATGTTCAGATTTGTTTTCATGTTTTATATGTACTTGCAGAAACTAGCATTGTAACTAAATATACTTAAGAAGACAGGTTTATAATTCATAAAAACAAATAAGCAAAACAACAAGTGAAACTTACCATTCTCGCGGATGTGTAGCGCTCACCAAGACCAAGAAGTGGAAAACGGCAAATCAGCGAGACACAACAAACATACTGGAGAAACTGCGAGGTGGTTTGGGTGCTCTCGCGTCACTCCGAGGTTTGTCGGTGGCGGCGTGGCGATCGTTTGCTGGTACCCGCCTCCAGAGTGCCGTACATGGTCGTGGGTGCCATATATGGTCGTTCTATTGTTGGGGCTACCGGGCTTTGGCAGCCGCGGGCCTCTTTGTACCCCGCAAAAAAATCACGTGGCGGCACGCGCTTCATCTTATCCTGCGACCGAAAGAATGTTGCCGAGTAGCTGAAGAACGAACTTTAGGGTTTTCTTTTGGGATCTTAAAGGTCGCCGGATTGCATAAATTAAGCACTGAAACTGAAAAGAAGAGGGAATGCGTTTTGCCAATTATTTCGGATGGCATGCGATAGGCTAAATCGTTTTTCGTTGTCAGTTCAGTAAAATGACAACGATTGGCTGTTTTTTTATTCGCGATCTTGTTCGGTATTCGGCTTTAAACTTGTCAGGACACAGAAATTAAGCAAATCCTACATTTACCTCCAATAACTCGTTCCTTATAAATATTCATACATCGTACCAAATCCAGCGATGAATTAAAGAAGGAATTGAATACTGCCACATTACATAAAATTATCCAGAAACTAATATATTTTTGACTTGAATTTTCAATTCCCTCATTGAATACATTTATTCCATCTGATTTCCAATTATCCCTGCGGATCAACTGGTATCTTTTTAGAATAAATGCTATGCTTATGTCGAAAGTTTGGTCACAGTTTTGTATAAATAAACATTTTGCATTTGGCTATTACCATACTTAACACGACCATATATGATGTTTTAACAGTTTTGCAAGAACCCACGTTATTGAATAAATCGAAATTATGAACTTACTTTTTTGTGGATTTTCGAATAATTTGAACATTACATTTTTTATCATCAGTTCCGATTACAAACATTTGTTTTTGTAATTTCTAAATACTTAGTTACATTTTCTGGGACGGAAGCTCGAAGCTGGCATTGGATGAGACTTGCTCTTCATATAGCATACCCATCCAAACTAAATGTTACTGTGCGGAAACCTGCTCTTTCTTTGGCACAATTTTGAGTACATTTTTTACTGTTAATAACCGCCCTTCTAATAAACCTGCTGTTGGTCGTTTCAAGCAGGTGCTAAACATTCGCAAGACCAGCGGTTATTAATATCTGGATGTCCAAAATTGAAAATTATGTATTGTAGTTTGAAAGTTTCATTACTATTGACCCGCTATCTATAACTTTTCCGTCTCACCAATAATAATATTATTGCTGGTAGGTACGTTCTAATAGTATTAAGCGGTTCATTCTCTCGGTTATAATATTTGGGGAGTAAGTATTTGGATTCGGTCTCTCTCCTGCGAAATAGCTTCTTCGCAAAAAGTTAGGTTCCTCTACATCGCTTGTTTTCATTTGCTAAAGAACGTTCTAGATCTGCATTGGTCTCATCTGGATCATAACAAGCAAAACTAGAGCAACTTTGAAGAACTAGCTTCAAATATCCGCTAGAGGATATGAGTCAGTTTTGCTAGAAAATAAGTAACATGCCTGGGATCTTACACAGTAAAGTTATTTACATTAAATCTAGGATAATGAAAAGGAGGTAAATCTGCTTATTTATTTGCATCTAATTCTCTGATTAACTGATCTTTTGCTTGCTTCAATTGTGATTGTGTGTATTTATTCAGTTATTTGTATTTAGTTCTCAATATAATATGTTGTTTATATTTGCAATGTTTCTTAGTAATATTTTGCTTTTGTTGCAGGTAAGTGTACACGTTTACTTTCATCTTGTAAACGAGTTTTGGTAAGTAATAAACTCTTAAGGTAAATCAGTAGTATGTGGATCTGTAACTCAATATTTTGAATTAAATAAATTAGCAGATATTGAGTTCAATTTGTAAATGTAAATTTAGCAACGTATCTATAAATGATTCTATTAAGCGAATTTTGAATTCCAAATAACCAGTCCGTAGGCTCACAATTAAAAAACAAGGTATCATTCTATCCAAAAATAGGATACGTTAAACGATTTCCGAGCATTCAATGAAACAACGGACGCTGTTTATATGACATCAACGATCCAATCATGTTCATGTCGTTCTTAGTTTCAATTGTCGCAATTTTCAGTTTAAAACATCGTCTACATTTTTTATTTGCGATTTAAAAAAATCACCTATCCAATTAAGAAGGCGCGAATAGAATTAGGAATTTTAATAGTAAATTACTATACGAGTTCAACTGTTGTAGTGAGTTGATTTGGAGGAAATGGTCATCTTTTCCATAACAAAGTTTTTATGTATATGTTACAGACCGTATATTTACGGGCTAGGCTATATATACAGGGTGATTCAAAATTGGCGTAATTCCTTTTAAGGATCACTAGACAGTACGAAAAAAATGAATGATTCTCGAAGAACAGTTGAAAGTCGAATTTCATATTTGTTATTAAATATTATTTTGAAACGGTCCTTTTTTCCTCTTTGATTGATATTGGAATACTTAACCGTTCGCATAGAAAAATTCCTATCTTTGCTATTTTTTTTTAGTTTTAAAGTTAATCTGAATCATTTACAGTACGTAAATACTACCTGTTGCTTCCTAATTATCTAAAATTCCAGTAACCATGGGAAAATACAGCCAGTGACACTGAAATAGGTTACTGTGTGAACGGTAAAATCAACAGGATTCATTGTCAACGAAAAATGGTTCTTTTATTACCATCATAACATCAAATTAATATGTTAACAAATATACGATACATACATTTATGTGTCTAACTCAAATTTATCTGTCTCAGTCTCAAAATTATCTGTTTATTTTGATGCACGAGTGTAATTTTGATGAATATATCCTGAGTAAACAAAGTAAATGTGGATT